AAGCTCCTTAATGGAGTCACCACAAGGGCAAAAAGCATTTTAATTTGTTTGCACTTATTTCCCTCCCTCTATCTCCCTGCTCCCCTCCAGCTGATCAGAGGTGTGCACATTGGCATTAAGTATTTTATTTATTATTTATGTAGTTCCGTCTAATCCAAAAATGTATATATTATCCACATGTAGCAATCAGCTTGACAAAAATACGTCTCAGGTAAGTTTGGTTGACTCTTTACTTAAAGGTCCCATGTCATGCTTTTCTGGTTATTACCCGTCCCCTTGTGTGTTATGTAGGTTTTTCTGCATGTAAACGGTCTGCAGAGTCACAAACCCTCAAAGTACACCCTGTAGCGAGTAAAACTCTAACACAGAAAAGACCTGTCTGTGCTGCCCCAGAACGCATCGTTGGAGATTTCTCATTTTCCATTGTTTGCTTCCTGGGTTCTGTGACGTGTGAACACCCAAATCAACAACAAATGACCGGATTGGCCCAAATGGACCAATCCTCGGAGCACCTCACACACCAGGATCCCTTGGCTAACTAACAGGGAGTCCCCATTGACTTGCATAGAGCTCCCTGAACGCTGGTAATAGACGAGTTGGGATGGTGGAGAAATGCTCTCCGCAGACCCATTCTCACAGCGTTATAAACCTTTTTCTTACTCAATATCAAGCCACACTTATTGTTTTTTACTTCGGCTGTGAGTGTTTGTGTGTGCTCAGGATGAGTTTCGCTTGTTTTCGCTGTATCGCCGACCCGGAAACCTGTCCGCTCCTCGCAGCAACGAGCCTCGCAACGTCCCGACCAATCAGAGCACACTGGGCTCACAGGGGCGGGGCAGGAGCTCCAACAAGCCGTTTAGGACAGAGAGTGAATACACATACTATACAGAGATGCTGTATGAGAAACCAATGTGAGTTTGGAAAATTACACAATCTAAATCTATTCTGGTATACCTCAACAATGGAATTATGATCAGTAGAAATGGCCGTGACATGGGACCTTTAAACAAAAGGTATCAGTACAAACAAATATTGTCAAAGGTCAAAAACGATATTGCTCCGTGTTTGTTTTCTCCTTCTAACTTCTCATTACCAACGTCAACGGCTGGTTTTAAATAAAATATATAATAATACTAATAACAAAGGATTACAATGTTCAAATATATATATATATACACACATAATATATCAAATTATACATTTTAACATATGGCTCCTACAATTTATTTTGGAGGCCATCACTGATAACCTGCCTGTGAAATAGACTCTGTAAAGGATTACCTCCTAACCTTCGACTCCACATCTGTGCCAGGCAAGACTGACAGAGCCACTGTGTGAGTGGTAGATTACAGACAAATGCCATCTCATGACTATCTGCCTATATTGTGTTCTTCGTCCTGGTTCCATTGCACGGTCACAATAATGTCGGCATAAACAGATCTTCTAATTGATTTATTGAATATATACTGCGCACAAAGTGAATCAAATGTGTTGAAACAGCCCGAGGTAAATTCAAGTGACAGCTACTCTCTCCTGTTGATTTGATCTAATAAATCCATGCTTATCTTGAGGGAGGGTTGCAGGTGAAATGGAGGATAGAGGTTATAGTGGGATTGGAAATGAAAAGCCTGTCCACTGAGTAGATAGTGTATGAGGAATGTCTCTATAAAAGTCCATCGATCTTGGAGGAAACGTGACACTTAAACTGATGTTTGAAGTTTGTCAGATTGCTAAATCATATTTACTATCAAACTCTACTTTATGTAACACAGTCGTGATCCAGCCACAATAAATATAGAGTTTAATACTACAAAATAATGCAAATTCTACCTTATTACTGTTAAAGGTGGGGTAGGTCATTTTGGAGAAACCAGCTCGAGTGCGCGAGAATTTGAAAATACACAACCGGAACAAATCTGCCACTTCCTTACAGAGCCCCTCCTCCAACACACACGGACGCGCACATGACCAATGAGGGCACGAGATAAGTTTGTGGCACTGACTACTTTTAAATACAAAAAATTGTTATCTTTCACTTATTTAAAAAAACACAATACTCAAACTCAATTTCATCGAGGGCCACATCAGCATTATGGTTGCATTCAAAGGGCCGGTTGCAACTTTAAGACTATATATATATACACATATATAAATATATAATATATATTAAATAATGTATTATATTATTGGCTCTGCATTGGATTATTATCAGTCCTGGTAATAACTTCATAAATAACTACGTCTGAAAGCAGAAGTCTAGGGCAAATAATTGAAAGCAAATATTCAACAATTACATCAACACTTTTGAAATCCATAACATTAATCTGTTTGCAACTTATATATACAATATTCCAATACTTGTATATAGACTATTCTGCACTATTTCTATTATATTATATTTTATTTTATTTACTTGCACAAATATCTGTTTTATTGTGTTGCACTGTTGGAGGAGCCTGTGACCTAAGAATTTCATTGTCATAACTACACTGTAGCTATGTACATATGACAATAAAATTGTATTGTATATTATATTCTTTGCAAGCTCTTGCAGGCCACATAAAATGAAGTCGCGGGCCGGATTTGGCCCCCGGGCCTTGAGTTTGACACCCCTGCTCTAAGCTATTACATGCATATGTAAATTGATAATCCACTAATATAACTGTTAACGAGCAGCTGTGCATATTCAAGTTAAAGGAGGCCCTACCCCTGCTCATTCTCAGGTTCATATCAGTATGTAGTGTCTCTACTGGGACATGTCTCCATGCTTTAATGCTGCAGCACCTCTTTTCACCCTCTGTCTGAACCAGAGCCCAGTCTACTCTGATTGGTTAGCTGGCTGGCTCTGTTTGTGATTGGACAACGACTTAGAGATGTCCCGTCCTTAGCCTATCACAGTACAATGTGTTGGAGCGCTAGCCAATAGAAGCGTGAGTGTACTTAGTGATTTGACTATGTTCCCGAAGTAAACAAAGGAGTCGAGGTATTAGCCTTTGCAGAACATTACACAAAAACCTATTTCACATTCTGCAGGAAAGTTCAATCCCAAAAGGCATAATAGGGCCGCTTCAATCAACAGATTAACCGCTTTATCCAGGTCACTCTGCAGCCTTGTTCCCAGACTTTAGTCACAGATTACACAGCACAGGCTCGCCCACTGAGGCGGAAGGCAAACAGCTTGCTGTCTAAAGTGCTCTGCATGGTCTCAGATATGAAAAATAAATGAGGGATGAGTAAAGTAAGAAAAGAACAAAAAGAGGGACAGAGGGGAAAACCTGTAGTCCATCCACACACACACAACACCACACACACACACACACACACACCACACACAACACACACACACACACACACACACACCACACACCACACCACACACACCACCCACACACACACACACACAACACACACACACACACAACACACACACACACACACACACCACACACACACACACACACCACACACACACACACACACACACACACTTAAAGAGTGAATTGAAGGTAACCCAGTTCCTACATCAGTAATCTCACAACACCACACACAGTAATAGCAGCTAATCTGCAAACCAGGTTCATCACGCTGTGTCACCTGTTGCTAGGGCAGTGAGGCAGAAAGACGTAAGTTTAGTCAGCAATGGAGATAATTGTGTGTGTGTGTGGGTGTATGTGTGTGTGTGTGTGTGTGTGTGTGTGTGTGTGTGTGTGTGACCTAGCATTACTATCCTTGTGGGGACCTAAATCTGTTTACACAGTCACGTGTGGGGACTCGCCTCCCTCATGGGGACATAAGGGAGGTCCCCATGAGGGGAATCATTAATTTTAGGGTGAAGACTTCGTTAGGGTAAGGGTTACGGCCCGTCCACACGGCAGCGTGCGTTGCTTCAACGGAGGCGCTTCCCATTCACTTTGAATGGGGTGACGTCACGCTTTGCCGAACTGCATTGTGGTTCCGTTGCGTCGCTGTGCCTCCGTTTACAAGCTCTAGCCAATCAAACCACGTGCTTGTGTGTCAAGGGCGGGAGATTAATGTGATTGGTTGTTGGTCGCACGCCAGACACGCCCACCGGCAAGCTTCAACGCACGCTGCCGTGTGGACGTTAGTGTTAGGGTTAGGGTTAGGGTTAGGGTAGGGTTAGACATGTGTTGGTTATGGTTAAGGTTAGGATAAGTCTCCAGGAAGTGTGTGTAAGTCAATGTAATGTCCCCTGAAGTGATGTATACACGCACACACACACACACACACACACACACACACACACACACACACACACACACACACACACACACACACACACACACACACACACACACACACACACACACACACACACACACACACACACACACAACACACACACACACCACACACACACAAAACAAACTGTGTGTTGATAACTAGCTGTGAGTTATGAGCGCTGACGTCCCGTCGAGGCTCCGCTCTCAACCGTTCTTCTTCTGCAATGTTTACCCTGGCTGAGAGATGAGATTTGGAGCACTCTTCTTCTCTGGTTCTTATCAGATGGTGACCCCCTCCTGCATTTTAAGTTCTCCCTTTCGTCTCTTTTCTCCAGCTCTGCACACTCTTTTTTTTCAAGTGAAGCAGTTCAGAGTCCTTCATGAAGCCCCCTGCTGCGATTTCAATTTCAGATCCTTCCTCTCAGCCATCATTCTGGCTCGAGCCTTCTTTCTATTTTCTACTTTAGCTTTTTCCTCTGTCGCTTCAAATGAAGGTGTCATTGGGTTTGCTTTTTAAAACCATGGGATATTATTACATTGCAATATGTCTATTTTTAATCTTTTGAAAGCTGATTATTCAAAAAAATTCTCCCTTCATTTACATCCTTTCCCTTATCGTTCCTTCCTTTGTCACTGTATCCTTCCACCGAGCACGTACAATTCCTAGGAAGGACATCTGAGGACATCTCATCCATCCTGACACAGTAAATCATTGTGCCTCTCTGACGATTAACCCCATGTATCTCTTCCTCTCTCCAGGATCCTGCTCACTGTAGTGGTGATCTTCCGTATCCTGATCGTGGCCATCGTTGGAGAGACCGTGTACGAGGACGAGCAGGCCATGTTCGTCTGCAACACCCTGCAACCCGGCTGCAACCAGGCCTGCTACGACAAGGCCTTCCCCATCTCACACATCCGATACTGGGTCTTCCAGATCATCCTGGTGTGCACGCCCAGCCTCTGCTTCATCACCTACTCCGTCCACCAGTCGGCCAAGCAGAAAGAACGGCGCTACTCCTTCCTCTACCCCATCATGGAGAGGGACTACGGGGGAAGGGACGGCACTCGTAAGCTCCGCAACATCAACGGTATCCTCGTTCAACATGGCGGCGATGGAGGAGGAGGAAAGGAGGAACCAGACTGCCTGGAAGTGAAGGAGATCCCCAACGCGCCACGAGGCCTCACCCACTCGAAGAGCTCCAAGGTGCGCCGGCAAGAAGGCATCTCCCGCTTCTACATCATCCAGGTGGTGTTCAGAAACGCGCTGGAGATCGGCTTCTTGGTGGGTCAGTACTTCCTCTACGGCTTCAGTGTGCACGGGCTTTTCGAGTGTGACCGCTACCCGTGTCTGAAGGAGGTGGAGTGCTACGTGTCGCGCCCCACGGAGAAAACGGTGTTCCTGGTGTTCATGTTCGCGGTGAGCGGCATCTGCGTGGTGCTCAACCTGGCCGAGCTCAACCACCTGGGCTGGCGTAAGATTAAAGCCGCCATTCGAGGCGTTCAGGCCCGCCGGAAGTCCATCTGTGAGATCAGGAAGAAGGACATGGCGCACCTGTCCCAGCCGCCAAACCTCGGACGCACCCAGTCCAGCGAATCAGCTTACGTCTGATGATGAAGAGAAGACAAAAGGTTTGAGGAGGAGAAGGAGGAGAGGGGGGTGAATGTGCAAAGGAGGGAATTCATTATGATTTTAATTTGATGAAGACGGCACTGAGATGACCCCTCCTGAAGGAAACAGAATGTAAAAATAACCAAACCTCCGTCTCAACGACTTTGAGGGTCGAGAAGGAGGAAGAAAAAACAAATGAACATGATGAACATATTTTGGTCTCATGGGGAAGATATTCCAACTGCCATTTTCTACTTTTTGTCTTTAAAATAAAAAACTAATTACCCTCTCCTCTGCCCCTTTTTTCTTTTAAAGTAGGGGAATTAAATCCTCAAGGGGCTGGAGAGAGGGAACGACTTGAGATGAGAAGACGAGGGTTAAGGAGAGGAGAAGAGATGAAAGGCTGTTTTGTATTCTTCGGGGACATTTGGAAGATGGCGGCGGTGTTTGATGCATCCCACGGTGCTTTTCTTCTGGACTGTGTCAGCCTCAATGCTCGGGTGCGGGGAGGATGAGCAGCGACATCATTAAAAGAGGAACGGAAGAACTGTCTAGAGAGCGATGTTTGTGAGATAGAGAGAAGGACCGTGGGTCACATCACTCTGGGAAAACATATATGATATCCCCAAAGGTCTTTTTGTTTTCCTAGACTGAAGCCAGGAGAGAAGGATCTGCGTCTGATCAGTGTCGCCTCTGTTGGAACATTGTCACGAGCTTAAGCCAAGAGAGAAAAAGACTGACGATGTTTATGTTTTGTCTCTTGGCAAAAGATGATTTTAACACAAACACATCAAGTATCATAAACAAACTCTTTTTTTTCTTTCTCCCCGATCCCTCGCCTCTCTGTGCTCCGCTGGTTGGCAGCTATACGGACCCCAGGGGCTTCTGGTGACAGTAACGACTCTTGCTGCTCTGCTTCTGCGTACACTTGGGAGGGGAACTAATGAACAAACGGACAAACGTTCGCGTCTCTCCTAAAGCACAAACCAAACTTCCAGCATTCCAGTGTGCTGAGAGACGGAGGAGAGACGGAGGAGAGAGGGAGGAGAGACGGAGGAGAGAGGGAGGAGAGACGGAGGAGAGAGGGAGGAGAGATGGAGGAGAGAGGGAGGAGAGACGGAGGAGAGAGAAGAGAGGGAAGAGAGGACATCACTTTATTACAGATTTTATAAAAAATATATCACCATGAATTCTTTTCTTCTTTGTTTTTTCAAAAAAAGCGATGGTGCCATCCTTGAGATATTTAATTATTGTTGATGAAGTTACATAGAGTATATCATGGTAATATTATTTATCCATTTAGAGTATATCCAAATAGATTTATTTATCTTTGCGTGCAGGGTTGGTTGGGACATGTTGCTGTTTTTCTTTCATGTGTAAATTGTCTGTCTTTTTTTCATTTTAGTTTAAGCATTTCTCACTGAAGGAACTGATTAATGGCATGAAGGCCGAGGAGTCTGTGCAGCTGATTTTCTATTATGTGCAACTTTATAACAATTGTTTCTTAATTGCATTCAAAGTGTAAAACAATGCATGTGCAGGCGTTCCCTAATCCCTACAGAGAGTCTTCTGCAAAATCAGCTGCACAGCTAACGCCTGCGAGCCATTTGAAAAAGGCATGTTTACATGACGTGATGTTTCTTGAATGATCAAGCTGTGTAGTAACTCTACTAGGGACAGTTGTGTTTTTTGAATCTCAGTGGTTTTTCTTTCATTTGCATTTCTTTCCTGACTGGATTTCAGCATGCATGCCTTGTAAGAGAAAAAGAACGTCAAGATGAAAAAAAGATGACAGAGAGTGTTGCACCTTGATTAACGCGGACCGGCTGGAGAGTGGCAGACTGAAGGAACTAATGTTGGAATTAACTCATACACTAATGCCTCATTTAAGATCACTTAGCGCAGGCCTGTGAAACCAGACATAAGGACGATTCATAGCACTACATGTGGTGTCTTTCTCGAGACCAATATTTTTCCAGGTGTTACACATTCTTAAAAATCAGCTAACTAAAAGAAAATCTTGAACCCGACACGTTGTAGCAGATCAGCAAAGTTGCTTCTGGTGTTAAGAATCTTCTTTACCACTGCCCATTGAATGGCCTTATGTAGCTTGACACTGTAGGAGCCTAACACTGCCACATTTGGGGGTTTAAAGGGGCCCCCCTATGCACTGATGCACAAACAGATACATCAGGAGACCAAACTGTAGTCAGTATTTCATTTCTTTCCTATTCAATTTCCACTAAATTGCACCATAACTTGAAATTGTAATGTAAAAACCTTTCTATTTTAATATATGTTGTATCCACTTTCCCTTAACTTGCCTTACCTGCTTGTGCTTTGTTTAGCGATTCCCTACATTTCCCACAATGCCTTTGGACAATTCCTCTGTCATTATGTTGGGGGTAAACAAAGGGGAAATTAGATACTTAGATGACTAAAATGCACGCTATTGCAAATGTTTACTTTAGTTTATTTTTGTTGTTTCTACAACTGAAATCCACGTATATAAATGGACAAAATAACATTTTTACTTTTTCAAATAATAATGACAAACCAAAGCAAATTCATACCAACCTAAAAAGATGTTTACAATCTTTACTTTCTACCACTTTTGTAGTTATTTTTAAGAATTTGTATCGTAGGACAGCATCGTAGCTACTCTGGAATTACCTTAACACGACAACAGCTAACACTGTTTCAAAAGCCTAAGCACATTTACACTGAGTGTCAGTAGTAATTGATGCAACACCAACAGCTGAAGCAGAAGAAATCCCCCCCCCCCTGACTCTCTGTTTCCCCTTTCACTCCCCCTGTCATAATCTCAGTGATTCTTACAGGTGATTATCCCCAGATTTAGGCTCCCATGAGGATCTCTGAGGAGCTCAAATGGATCGGTGCAGTCTACTGTAAGCACGACGAGGGGGGGGGGGGGGGCGGGAAACGCTGAGAGGCCACGCCAGAATGCCTAATAATAGAGTTTGAGTCAAGGCTTCCCTCAGTAACAGAGCTGGTGCTCCTAGCGAAGGCTTAAACGCTGACCTTGAGCTCACCAAGCTGATGTCCTGAACTAAACGTGGCTCCTGCAGGTTGGTCACTGCGCTCTACATGTTTAATCTGCACAGAGCGAGTAAGATAAGGCTTGTTGGGCAGGAGCTCCAACAAGCCGTTTAGGACAGAGAGTGAATACACATACTTTACAGAGATGCTGTATGAGAAACCAATGTGAGTTTGGAAAATTGCACAATATAAATGTATTCTAGTATACCTCAACAATGGAATTATGATCAGTAGAAATGGACATGACATGGGACCTTTAAGATGGACCTTTATTAGTACATGCCGGACATTCACTCAATCTAGTAAAACAAGCACCTCTGAATGTGAGGAGAGCAGTTTGAATTCACGAACAATAGTTAATGTTGTGCCACGATAGAGAGGGGCAGTGATGACGTATTTGAATCCAAAGTTAGCATAGCAAGGGCTCCCTCTGCAAAAAGGAATGGGATTTTTCTATTGGATTTTGAAATATTGCAAAAAAGAACAAGACGCTCAGGAGGTTTTTTACCAAAAGCAGAATTATCTTCTTCTCTCCAAAGAAAAAATTATCAATAAAGCAGTTTCACGTTTTTATAAAATGCAGGGCAAACTAGCTAAAGGCTAACATTCGCTCAGCTTGTTTCTTTGATAAATTAACATCCAGTCGTCCGATGACTCAAATCTTCCATCAGATTTTAAAAGTGGATTTTAAAAATGTGACTTAAAACTTGATAAAAAAGTATGTTTAAGACAGCTTCTGACAGACAATCACAGCACTACATTTCGCTCAACAAGGATACGACACCATTTAAGGCAGGGGTGTCAAACTCAAATACACAGTGGGCCAAATAAAAAAATGGGTATGGGTGCAAGGTCATCAATGTTTGGGGTCAGGCTCTGAGCTGAGGAGACCCTCAGGATTGAGTGAAGGTGTGCGTGCAATATACCGGCGGGCCAGATCTAATAGTAATTAAAAATGATCCTGCGGGCCGAAATTAAATCCACCAAGGGCCTGATTTGGCCCCCGGGCCTTGAGTTTGACACATGTGATTTAAGGCAACTCAATTAAACACACGCTTATCTTAATACAGGATTTCTCTAGGTTTGAAAATTGTTGCAAACATTTGGGATAATGTAGATACACAACTGAACAGAATATATAACACACAGTAGGTGTAAAAGCATGTGTATTTCAACTTCCTCCTCTTGGATTCTGTTGTTATGTCTGGTTTCATTCAGTTCAGAAACACTGACGAACACAACGTGAAGATGCAGAGGAACATAAATGTGTCCTGGTTTTCTTCTGTTTACATTCATACATTCACTAAATGCTCCGGCCGTCACACAGTCAGCGAGTTCACACACTTTCACACACTTTCACACACTCTCCAAGCCGTTCTTCTTCCAACAGTCCTCTTCTCTCCACGGTCTGCTTTTTCTATATTTGTCAATGTGAAATGAATTATGCAACTTTTATTTCTTTCATCATAATTTGCTTATCTCTCTTTTTGACTTGTGGATTCATTTTTGTTGTCTGTTGCTCTTTTTTGTGCAGTGACATATCAAAAAAAGATGTTTTTATTGCAATGTAAAGGAACAAACTCTTTAAAAAAAACAAACAAGGGTAGAATGTTGAAAATATAATAGCAGGAAATTATGTTATACTTCCTCCCTTGCCAAAGTGAAATGCAACATTTGGTTAATTTTCAAAGATTTGTTTGCATGTGTAACGGCTAGAATAAGCATGTTCCTATGTTTTCTTCAGCAGAATCTTTAAAGAAAGACCTTTTTTAAGTCCAATATGAAGCTTTTAATGCCAGTTGTGTATATTAATAATCCAGTTCTTTAGATGGTACAGAGCCAGGCACACGCTACCAACTCAGTGATGTTTAAACTTCTTATTACAGTCTCCCAAAAAGATTTTGAAAGAACCACTACACAACGCAAAATCCTCTACTTTAAGAGATTTGCACATGATTATATACCTTTTTAATTTGTTGTAAAAGAGGATTTATAAGCCAATCAGTCAAGTGATCTACTGTTAAACACAGGGTACACAGAAATACAAGGTTAAAAAACGCCAGAACATTCCAGGGTTTAGTCCCCAGCACAATGTGTAGTGAACCTCCAATTCACAGCCTCTCCATGTGTTAGATATGATTAAATCCTCAGTGAAGCTCCTTGTGAGGAACAGTACTGCCGCCAGACTCAGGAAAGAATCTTTTACTACAATATTTTCTAGTAAAAATGCTGTTTTCTGCATTTTAAAATGGTATTACAACATTAGCATACTTTCCATTGACCATCTTACCCTGTACTGTGAAGCCCACCCAAGAAAATGGTCTGATTATTTACCTGTTGGTGCTATTGAGGTCCTTACCAAAAACATGAATTCAGAAACATTCCCTCGTCCTCAGCACACTACTGCCCCCACATATGTCATGTAGCAATTCAGGTCTCCTTAAACAAAAAACAAAAAAGCTGTTACTCTTGACTGTTACTGAAATAAATGGGTTTAAAATGTCCGCTATTTTCACTCTCATTAAACTCCAAACTAACTTTTTGTAGCAAATGATTGGATTCCTCAGGAAAGCAGCATGTAATTAAGCTGCTTCAATCATTAACGGATCATTGAACTACCGCATTACTCCTGCCGAAAAGTCGTGACATTAAATTACATTATAGGGCTTTGCAGTGCCCCTCTTAAACCTTCAAGGGTTCCTTACTTTGTATAAACGTAAAAGCCATAATTTAGAAAAAAGACAGATTTAAAACTTGACTGGGTGCATTCTTTTGAAAGAGTAATGTGCACTTGTAGTCAATTATGCCATGCATTTTAATACAACATTTGACAGATTTGTACAGTGTTAAATTGAATGAGGACAATAAAGCTCCTTTCTCCAATTTTAAAATGTTTGAAATAAAATGCTTCCCCCTTTTCAAACCCCCGTCTGATACTGGTG